TCGTTGTCTAACGACCGATACGTATTAAAGTCAACATTTTCACAGCTAATTGATTTTATTGATTGCTTTTTGTCGGTTCTCAGTAATAAGATGATTGGAGTCTGTTGTAAGAAACTTAACTACATGTACTGATGTCTATCTGTTCAATCATGCTCATGTCTTGTCATTCATCTATTTTTTCTTTCTTATTTCACCATAAGAAAGTAGATGTCTTGAAAAAGTGTCTTTCTTTCTGATATCTACAAGAGCGTCTCAAAATCCAGGATCGAATATACTTAAATTATTTAATCGGTTTCTCCGGATTTAGTATTCAGGGCCAGAGACTTTTTGCAAAATCATCGATTAAGACAAGAACTTAGTTATCATCACTTATAAACATGTGTTGTCCGTCTCCACTAGTCCGAAGAACATCTCCCATTAGCTCCTATCCCTCGTTAACGCCTTCCATGGTGGTGATATGTTTCAGATATGGTATGCTTCTCAACGGACACTTTTTTTAGTTCGTTTAATCATTTAGCTGTAAACAGTGGTACCCATAAGATGCAAACGCGATTGATGATCATGTAGGTCGTCGTCTCAGTGGACGTTTGTATTGTCGTAGTGCCCAGGCTGCTGTTGCTGTTATCCTTTCTTCGTAAGCTATTCCCAGTACATAACGATCCGACCAATGTTTCGCTTTCAAGATATATTTTTTATGGTCTCAAAGCCAAAATAATGTTCGAAGACCTGAAATGCGCAGAGTGGTTTGATGTCGTGCATGTCGGCTAAATATCAGAAGGCATCCTTCAACCACTCCGATGTGCATCTTACGTTTGTGTTCCTTCGCACGGAGTTGAAAGTGCCGTTGATCCAAAAGGATTTGCGCGGAAGTTTAATGTTTCAGTTGAGTGGTGGCTTCTCAGAGTGAAGACCCGTTCTACAAAATTCGTTCTTCATGTCCTTTCTTTTGTTCAGTAAACGTTCTAAGTACATGCAATGATTTAGTAGCGATGGACTCGCAATCTTTTCTCCTCCATCGTTTGCTATACTCTTTGAGCATATCTCGGCTTCACTAGTAGTTATGGAAAGGATAGCAATTTAGTCGCTAAAACGAATAAAATCGCTTCGTCAGAAATTGTCAACAATATGCGTTTTTCGTTCTCATCCAGCGATCTCGTCATCTTTTGCAACGCGGACAGGAATAGCATTAGCCAAACAGTGCTTCACTGTTGGATCCCTCTTCTGATGTGCTGATAAGAAGTCAATGAAATAGTATTTTGTTGCCATAGTTGCGATCGCAGTGAGCCAGTGTTCTTATATATGACTGGATTAATCCCTAGTCGATGAGTGCTGATAGGATTTGGCTTTCGTTCTGACGCTGTTAGACATAAGCAGAGGTTTGGAAACGAGGTAGGTGGTATTTCCAAAGACACTTATGATTCTGATCATCGTTCGCATTGCACTCCATGCCGCAGAATCCCCATAGGAATTGCTTGGCTTGTTCATTTCGTTCTTGGTTGATATGCACAATAAGATAGTTTTCATGGGGACTTGTAAGATGAAAAAGGACGAAGGTCGATGTTGTAAGTTATTTTTATTGTTGGTTATATAGCTCACCCGCACTATACTAATCTTTGGATCCCCGTGCATATTTAATTTTTTCTGATATTTTTGCGCACATACTTACAACTGTTTGGACCCACATATCAATAAATCAAAATTTCCCACATGAAACACACGTTTTTTTCATGATAAGCACCTTCCATCAAGAGAAATCGTTACCGTGTGTATTTGTGTATACATTTGTGCAATGTGTGTGTACGTGTGTGTTTGTTTGTGTGTGTATGTGTGCGTGTCTGTATGTCTATTCTGTTCATATTTATAAGAGGAAGTCATGATTAATCGTTTTATAACGATGACAGAGACTGGAAGTCGAAAACTGTAGGAACACAACACCTTTGTAGCTTTGCATCTCTAATCCTTCAGTTTAACGTATTGTGCTTTCCTTGCTATTTTCTATACCAAATCCAAAAAAATTTCCCTTACTTTTAGTAATTCAAAATTGCCAACTTTTTTGACATAGTCCTTCATTACACCTACGGCTCACATCACAGCACTTCCCGCATTCGATTCATTTTCTTCCCATTCATCTTCTACAGAGGTCGCATGTTGTTTTAGGTGCTGCTTCAGGATTTCTTCTTTTTTTAATGAATGTCTCAGAATGTTGGTCGATTCGATTCTTCTTGCATTCTTAGACAAAGTCGATCTAAGGAACTAAGGTGTGCCTAAGTGGATTACAGTAAGCACAGGGTAGGGAATCGAATCAGTACCTTGCTTCCTGATAGATTCCGTCATTAACCACTGCGCTATTTCCTTACCAAATTGATAAATAGTTAACTATTTCACAGATGTGAACTGAAGAATGAGAAATGACTGTTACTACCAGGTTAAGTACTGTTTTGCTATTCAATACTAGTTGCAAGACCATGTTATGGATGTAAGATAGCAGTTTTTCTATTTCTGGATGACAAAGTACCTAATAAATGATTTGTGACTCAAGTGTGAAGAAGAACCCGTTCCATATATGAAGGTATCAGAAACAACTCGTTGTCAAAAAATTCGGATGAAAGGATGCCAGTTGAAATGATATTGTTCTCAGTTACTGTGCTGTTATAATTACTATTAAGAATACTGATATTATTATTATTACTATTATTACTATTACGTCATTTGTATTTCAAATAATACATGTAGATTGCTCGAATCCAGGCAGTGTGCGGGCGTTATAGAGATTCACTATGAATGGTTGGTCGATCGATGTGCTGTCCATCATCGTTATTATGTAGTGGAGTATCATATTGCATTGCGGTAATGATTTGATTCATATTCGATCATCTTGTTTCTTTCTTCACTTCTACTCTTCCTTTCTTTCTTTTTTCTTTTTCTTCTATTAAAAGTCAGCTTCTCTAGATTATTCGATAGTAATTGTGGTCATTGTTGATGCACGTTCTTTTCACGTGCATCATTATCAAAAACATGCCGTGAGAAGCGGATCATTATGACCTCTGACGGCGTCCATCAACTATTTACTACTTTACCTAGACACTTCACTAGGACGACCTCTAGTGTCCATCGTTTCTTCCTCTGTTCTTTATTATTAATGTTGTTAACTAGTAACCTGCATAGTAAATAACTCAGTACTGAAGTTCGATTGTCACTTATCTAGCGAACGTTTCACTCTTAAAGACAAACAAGGAGCAGAACAACACTGCTGATTACCATAGGATCTCGAAGCTTAGTACTTAATGTTGTTAAATTTAATGCGATTATCACGATATTAGTGCGATAGTGGTGATCATTCAGTTTCTGTCCGACGCACTCTATGGTGTCCTTCATTTTGCTATACAAACGAGAAAATTCGACATTCTGATAACGATTACTGCGTATTTGATAACGACTTGCACGTACTATAAACGCAATACTATAGTGGCAACAAACTTATTTAGAAGTGCAATTTAAGCGCTTATCAACCGTCAAAAATATTCGTTAATGAAAAAAATGAAAAAGAAAACCGAAGCGAAAAAAAGAGAGGAAGGAGAAAGAAAAGAGTACAGAGTAAGCGAATCATTCTCGAGTTACTTGCTAGCGATATCTGCTCATTGTAAGAACTCATCAATCAACAAATTTCTGTTATCTAAACGAGCTTTATACTTGAATCGATGATTAACAGCTATCTAGTCTATTCTACAGATGAATGTTGACTGAATGTTCTAATAGTGCACTGACGAGACGTGTGTGCTGATTGATTCGTTTCTTGGCCTCGGGCAGCAGGCCAGCCATCCATTCAGCCAGCCACCGAGCCAGGCAGCCAGCACCGGTCGGTCGGCGAGTTTGTTGGTTGAATCGGACGGCGACGACGCTGACGTTACTCTACTCTGAAACTGATGACTGCTCTTCTATTCATTCAGCAATTCACTCACTTATTCATTCTTTCCTTCTTTCATTCATCCATGCATTCAACTATCCATCCATCTCTCCATCTATCGTCGGTTGCGATTCGTTCTTTTGTCGTTCGCACAAAAGATACGGCAAGACTGTTGTTCCCGTTTTGCTTTCCATTAATATTCCACATAGATATGTTCATTTAGTTTTTTTATTCTTCGCTTTTTCGTTATTTCGCAGACATATTACTCCTTATCAAAGCCATAGTAGTGTTGCAACCATTGTTGAACATTTCATTTACGCCATGAATAATTCACATTAAATGACTTTCGATCATTTTCAAGAAGAAAAATAGCCGTGTACTAAATGTAAAGCGTCTATATGAGTCGTTGAATTCCGATGCAAACAGTTTTCTATAGATTGTGTCATTGATCACTTCAGGGGAATGCTTCACAGAACTACCAACACTCGTCGATTTCTTCCGGGTGCTCATGTTTCTCCTCAACATTTTCGAAACTTTTCGTTAAAAAGTAATCTCTTCACACCTTCAACGATCTTGAATCTTAACTTCATGAAAATATTTAAGTGATTTCTTATCGAGAATATGGTTACTTTATGATCACTGCGAATTATGGTTAATGAATCTACGAATCAGATTTTATGCTGTTACGATAAAGTTTCTTGCATATTTTTTCACCAAAACGATACTCATGGTAGGCTTAAGCAGCAGGAAATTTGCTTCATGACGTATCTAATACTCTATTCTCGTATTTGCTGTATTTTCTCTCCCTTAATCTTTGACACTTATGCGACTGCACCAAACTTTAAATGTTGGTCGCATTGGACGACTCTTAGTGTTTCCTCATACTACCCGTGACAGCTATAGAAGTCAAACCGGCGATAATGCTCTCTCCCCACGTATGACTCTTATAGAGGTCACGTCTTCGCGTAAATGTTAAGTTGTTTCGTGTACGGAAATCGTTTTCGCAATTTCGTTCGCCATTTCTCATATATTCTATCTTGATTGTCATATAATTTTTCGACCTAGTTTTTTTTCACTCTAGAACAGTGGCCGGGCGATGGTAGGCGAAAAAGGATGGGAGACTTGCTACCACTCGACACCCGCTGGTTATTTTACCGGCTATCGCCGTGCCGCTAGTTTTCCTTTCTTTGGAGACCACTCGTTAGTACCTAGCAGTGCTTTGAAGGTAAGAAGGATTTTTGAAGGACTTGTTCCTCTATTCGCCTTTTCATTTGTTGATGCTTGCTGTACTCTTGCATTTGTTCATTGATTTAGCTTCCCAAGAATTTGGTTTGCACTTATGAATGACGCTAGGAGAAAAGAATGTTATCTTTTGTTTTTTGTTGCTTTCCTTTTGTTATTTATCAAAACATACGTGCTAGTTCGAGGGTACGTGAAGGCGGATGCTTTTAGGTACGGTCTCAGAGTGAATCAGGAGGATTGAATAAAATTGCCTTCAGCCATATAAATTCGGACGCATTTCGTTGCCGCTCACGTGAAATAGTCGAAGAATGTGGTAGGCTTTTTTTTGGTACAACACATATAGAAGTGTCTTATTTCCCACCTGATATATCTTTCCAGAGTTTGTTTCGCTAACGATTTGTTGGCTGTCTAGGGTAGCTGTGTCTTCATTAAATTAAACTACTTTAGATGAAGCAAGTGACTGTGAATCAGACAGCTCCTCCACATCCGAAGAGTCCATTTCTTCGGAAAAAAAACGAGAGACGACTGAAAAAATCGTTGAGGTAGATTTTCCATTTCAACGAATTAATCAATGGATTTAGTATTTTGAGCAATTTCCTATAAGATGTCTATATATGAAACGATTTTTAGGCAATCAGAAGAGATGCAATCTTGAATGATTTGTTAAGCTTTAAGTCTTCATTATCTAATGTATAGACTTTAAACACTGTTTTTCTCAAAAATACTATTAGAAGTCCACAAAAAATTTCCAGGTGTCATTCAAAGCACAGAAATCAGTCCGCTTCGCTGATGATTGTGGTGAAGAGTTGTGCTCTGTGAGGGTTATAACGGAACCTAGTGACTATCCGCCTGAAATTAACCCAAGTGTTTTAAGGAAGCTCCGAGGTTGGTTGGGTCAATTTCATATTGCCTAGCGTATTTTATATATATATATATATATATATATATATATACTGCATTAAGGTGATATCTACGAAGACGAAGCATCTCAGAAGGATTCTGCGCAAACATGGAATTTGCTGTTTAAACAACCTGCGAGTGAATATGTTCGATTCAGAGAAACACTGGAAAAGGTTTACTTTTCGTTAATATAAATTTCCTTTTACTGTTTTATTTTTTTTTGTTTCATGGACCGAATTATTCAGGACCGAGTATCGCTTGAAAATGTAGTGATTAAAACAAACTGGTCGAAACTTGTCGGAACTATCAAGGTATAGTTATGTGGAAATCGATTTTCAACAAGATTTACTGTGTTACTAGTAGAGAAATTTTTGTTCATTCGTCCTAGTGGACTTCGTAGGTCCTATTCACTTCACTACTTGTCCATCTATTGTGTTTTGCGGCTTTTACCTTTGCGGACGCTTGAAATGACACCGTCGTTCGGGGTAGCGAACCGTGACATTACCATTGGCAACATGTTGTAATAATGTAAAATCTAGAAACCAATGCGAACTAATGCGAAAAAATCGTGTGTGCTGAGAAGTTAATCACAAGAGCTTCTATGGAGGCGAGCGGATTGGTTACATTGTAATGGCACAATGAGGCAATCGTTCTTCCAATAAATTTTTTCTTCATTTTGCACGACCCATCTTCACATCTGCTATGCGGATCCTGGCAGTTTTTTTTCATTCAATTCAAGTTCCTTGCATCCGACATCGATGAAGATCTTGGGATTTTTGGGATTTGCTTATGGGTTCGGCAGCCACTTGAGGATTATTTGTTCCTCTTGGTTAAGTGGTGGTCGAGTCGATTCTCCCCGCAGTTCCGAGAAAGCTTTACTAGAGAGTCCCCAGGTCTTTTGGATCGAAAAAAGCTTTGCAGACACATTTTGTACCGATTCCCCATTCTTGAAGGCATGGGCAGCTTGGTTGGACTCTTACTGAGTTGGACCAAGCTGTTGTGCTTCTCTCCCTCCATCTGCATGTTTGATCGTGAACAATGACCATGAAGCTGAGAATCTCGTGATATGAGTTAGGAGAGGACGTTTAGCTTCATTGTAAACAAAATTTTTCGAAATTTGTTTGTTAAATATGGCAGTCTGGGTATTGGTTTATGACCAATAAACTAGCATCGCTGTAGTAAAGCACTATTCTCTGTTTCAAATAAACACCATCTTTGAAACGGACCATTCTCACTCACTTTAACATACCTATTAAGTAGATATCATTGAGAACCATCTCTTCTAAAATAGCGCTTATGTTTAGTGTATTATCCTTCTTGGTTTAGTTTAAAGATTTATTACATGAAAGTTTTTCTAGGTTGCTAATATTGCATTTGAGAAGAAGGTGTTTGTAAGATACACATCGAATAACTGGCAGTCCTACATGGATCGCGCAGCAACGTACCAACCGTCGACCAGCAAAGTTTATGATACATTCACATTCGAACTTGATTTGCCGACAGTAAGTGACAAGGTAGGAAAGAAAGTCTCGAACGTTGTTCTCAATGCGTGTAGTCGTGTCTTTTCTGTCTGTGTTATTCTTTTAGAAAAATATTGACTTGTTCCTTATCTTTTATCAAAGAGGTATTATTTTGAAAAAAGTACGTTCTTTTAATCGTTATCAGTTTTCGTTATATGTGGTTAACATTCGTTTTTTGTGAACAAGTGATAAACAGATAATTAAAAGAGGTTTAGCCATATTTTATAGATTCGATTAAGATCAGTTAAGAATTACATTTACATGCATTGATATTAGTTTTCGTAGCACAATGTCCACTAGAATGAATGGGTATGTGATTGTGAGAGAAGCTGCTTCAATAACATTTCTTTCAATTAAATGGATTATTTATTTTAGAGCAATCGAATAGAATTCTGTATATGCTACATAGCGAATGGTGCCGAGAACTGGGATTCAAACGGTGGTGAGAACTATAAAATGGAACGCATCGATAAAAATACAGCTCCTAAAAAATCTGTGCCTCCTTTATTTGGAAGGTATGAGTTGTGCATTAGACTTTGAAGGCATTATTAATGAAAAATCAATATTAACAAAAAATACGAGCTATGCATTGGTTTTAATGCTTGCACTAGATGAAGTATTTCCTTCTAGTGACACCTGAGCAAGCATATCTCAGCTAATACTAGACTTTCCTAGTTGAAATAAAGGCAAGTAGGATCTGCAAATCTTTGCCAATGAAATACAACTTTTCATATTCTTCAGCGATAAATTTCTGACTTTTCAACACTCGCGGTAAGGCTTTTTTTTCGTCGAAGCCTTTTTCGACCATGGATGCGAATGAACAGTTGGAACTTTCTAGAATAATAGGCGATGGTTTCTCCCAGTGTCTCAGTAACATTTCCGCGTCCGTACTTTTGTCAAAAGTTCGGAATGCGAGCTTACCAATTTATCAAGCTTTGAACTGCGCAGGTACTCTAGCTGCGGAGAAATTATCGACAATTGTCGAGAAAGCAATGGTTGGTCATCATGTAGTAAAGTTGCCAAAATATTGTACGGAGAACCTACAGTTTGCGGTGCTTCCTACAGATTAGTGCGCTATTTCTTTTTTAGACTATTATTCTCCGTAAGCATCGGTTATCACCTCTTTCTAAAAGGATTCGATTTATACCGACTGAAAACTCTGGCAGCATATAGCGTTTCCAAAGCTACTCAGGAAAATGACAATTTCTACAAACTAAAGTCTTTTTTAAAGTGATAGGAATTTTTTTCATCTAATCATCTGCTATCTATCAGTTTTATTACCACAGTAAAGTATTCGTGTATGTGTTATGCCTTCAGCTTGAAGTATTTGAATCGCGACGACGCCTATAGTTTGAGTCAGACGGATTGGGCTCATTTTGCATCATGGAAGAGTCTGAGCACTGATGGTCCCTACTGGTAGAACAACAACAGCAACAACGGAAATCATCTTCGTGTGAAGTGGTGATTATGCGGCATACGTATTCACATCGTTTGCCGAAGCACATTTGCTTACTCTTAACGACTTTTTCTTTTTAGTTCTCTCTACTCATTTCTTTTTTTTTCTTTAGTGATTTCATCCTTTTAACAATGTTTCTCTACTAAACCCATCCAAATGCGTGTATTTACTATGCATCTTAACTTTGACTCACATACGTACAAATAGTTGAGATGATGTTGAAATTATCATTCTTGCCATGTGCTGCGAATAGGGTACAAATGTCGGGATTGTAATGTGTTTGTGTCCATTTATTTTCTCTCAGTATCACTATATATTCGCCATCATTTCTAGTTAGTGATCAGACTCAAGACAAGTTTCTTCCATAGGGATTTTACCTATATAGTTATCAATGATTACTTTGTTGTAAGTTATTTCAACCTGTGCCTTATTTTTCTCTTCGTTTTTTCCATGTATCTTTCTATACGATTTATTCGCTAGTCTTCTCCTTTGCGCTATGTAGTACTACATAGAGTCAATTTCAAATTCAGCTGCAAAATTTGACATTTTTCGTTTTTTCTTCAAATATTGCTAATACCGTTTTGTGCATTATTCATGATCGCCTTAGCCGTTTTCTTAATCACCCCACCGTTAACCTCTTCTTTCCTCCCACTTTTATTGCTCAGTGAAGATTGAAACAATCTGCTATTGAATGTGTATTTCGTTTTTCTTCATCGTTTTTCTTCTTCTTCTTCTCTCACCCAACAAAAACAAGAAGGACGAATTACCTGTTCAGTAAAACACTGCGGGTCACTCCCCACCAAGCTCAAGAAGCTCATGATTCGTTGACGCCTTATCCTATTAAGCTATCCCTCAGTAATGATAACTTCGTCTTTAGTTTTTTTTATATAAATCTCCAGATACACTAAGTTGCCTCAGCGTGATAGTTTTTGATTCTGAAGGATGAATATTCGCATGAAATGCGTTGACGTCAATTTTCTGTTCATGTGTATGTGTGTTTACCAAAGTCTCTAGCGTCGGATTTAGAGCGCCATTTGGTCAAATAACGAGTTATGCCTTTCAGTACGTGTAGGATTAAGCATTTTTCATTGTTGCTAGTGCTGTAGTCCGGTTTGTGGCGTAATATACACGTAGGCGATATCATTCATTCTTCCAAATCCAGAATAAAGTTTTATTCGATGTTTTTCTTCAATAAGCAGTCACGTGATTGTTAAAATAGAATTTATTAGGATACAGTAGCTAACGTTTCGGCGGTTTCGCCTTCTTCAGAGCCTGGAAAGGTCAAATTGAGATGCGATCTACTCAGCTAAACACTTTCATAACCCTAGCAGATAAAGCAACAAATAAATTTGTATAAAGTTTTACTGTTTTCTTTCTTTGTTTCCCATCACAGTCGTTTTGGAGTAATGTAAAACACTACAACGGAAACGAAGTGTTCTTCAGAGTTACTAGAAGCACTCCGAGTGGGCTCACTTACCCAAATAGAGCTACCTCTTCTGTATATACAACAAACGCAGCCTTGTCTAGAAAGCTTCATAGTTCCCAATTTATATCAGTTCTACTTAATTCTCGGTCTGTATTTTTCTCCTTCACGTGTCAAAATTACTAGTTGGATTCTGTTTTCGTTGTTCTTCATAAAGAGTTGTGATTATTCCACAATTGGTCTAATTGTTGACTGCTTGAGATCTCTGTGAAACCCATTCGCTTACAGGCTCTTAGCCGACGTTTGTCGTTGAGACACGTCGCGGAGCTGGTGTAGATGATTTCTACTATGTCGTCATATGAAGTGGAGTCCTTGATTTGTGATCCTCAAAATAAGTTCTAAGTTTGAATTTCCCGTTTCACTTATGTGATTCGAGAAGCTCCTTGTATCATCCTCTTGATAGAGCATATGGTAATACTGACAAGTCTTTCTATGTAATTCTTATTTTTCTAAGGCCTGTGTTAATAAGAAAGAGGGTACAAAGTTCGTTACGGGGAAATATACTCTTTGTGTTCTTCACAACAATTCTGGTTGGTCTTCTGGGCTTCCCAATTCTGTTCTTCACAACAATTCTGGTACAGGTCTGGTGTTAAGTGGTTCGTTGTTGCTGACATCCCGACAATGCTATAGTTAGTTCGAGCGTTCATAAAGAATCCCAATCCCTCTTAGCAACGTCATTTTTTCAGATTCAACCACAGACTGTTGTCTCTTTTATTGTAAGTGCCCTTCCTTAAATGGCAGACGTCATAAAACATCAAAACTGGCAGGAATACTGGTTAACGACTATTGCTTCCGTAGAAAACTATCTCAATTTTCAGATCCTGTTTTTGACAGTGCTGCTGATTAGTTCTGACAGGATAATATCGGAGCTTTGTAGAATTATTATGTGGAAAAGTTTTTACTTACTATGTAGGTACGCATTTGTTTCCAAGACTTCCGCATATGTAATGTTCGAACTGAATCGATGCCCTTATACCTCTGAAATTTAGAAATGGTAGCATGTTCCATTCTTCTAATAGAATATTCTAGTAATAATAATGTGTTCCAGTGGTGATATTCTAATGTATTTCATTGAGTTTTCTTATCTTGCAAGCCCGATCATCATACTGCACCATTCTAGGAATGGAGTTTGCTCACACGGTTATCCTTTGCTTGACATTCTCGTAATCCTTTTAAAGAAGACTTAATCAAACTGTTTCAACGCAACAAACAGCATGCAACGTGGTCGATGATTTACGATGTTACCCACGTTCATTTCTTGCATAAAATCGCTGTTACATTTTCTCTCCGATGACGTGGTAATGTTCTTTCTGAAAGATAATGCATAAACGGCCGGGCAAGTGGTTGACGAGTATTGGAGGCATGTTCCGGTTGACTCCTCTCTACCCCGAGTGTTGTGCGTAGTTGATAGTGGTCTGAGGCTCATTCACGACTATGCTAACGTTCCTTTTCGATAACTTCAGAGATGGGCATTCGTTAATGGCTTCTAAATGATTTGATTACTTAACACTTGTAGCGTTTTTGATACACAAATCATATTCCCCATACACGTCTTCAAAAAGAGATCTTCTAAAAGCGCTCTAAAGATGCAGAAATATTCGTAATTCTTCTCCCTCCCTCTCTCTTTCTCTTTCACTTTCTCTTTCCCTTTCCCTCTCTCTCTCACACACACACACACACAACACACGCACACACACACAACACACGCACACACACACGTACTGAAAACAGCGATGACTGGATCGCTTATAAATGATTGGGGCAACGACTTTTTTGACAAACATTACATGGCTAAATTCCAACTGATGTAATTCATACCGCTGCGGAATAGGTTATTGCTATCGAAACAGGTAGCCTTTAATGGATCAACGAAAGGCTTCGTTTATAAGGCGTTATTCCTTTCCGATGTTTCTCCATTCGTCTAAGGATTTCATTCAGTGCGATTTTTGAGTGCGCCATATCGCTAGAAACTTCATGTTGTTTGCGTTGGGCACTCATTTCGAAGCAGTGCGGTGGCTCTGAGGACGAGATATCAACAAGATGTCATCAACAACAAGGCATCTATCAACGTCGTTTTAAAGCATCAATAAACTTGCAATCCTACTTCGTAGCATTTCACAACTTCAAACTGAGCGTTGTTCACTGGGGATCCCAAAATTGCTTGCTAATAACAATTAATCAGAAATAGTTTCGTAATAGAACGTTTAACACCAAGCTCAGTGGAAAAACATGAAAACTGTCACAATTTAAGTCGATTTCCTATTTTAGAAAAATAGAATAGCTCTACGTTGACGATAGAAAGCAAAGCATTTGGTGTTACTCAACCCCTGAGTGGTGCGCCATGAATTCCATTTCATTTGAAACGTCGTAGAAATGATTGAATGCATATACAGACTGTGCAATGACTCTCAGTGGCCTGTTAACAAATACATTCAATGTTGCCATACTACCGGACAAGTCTGGTAGCAATTTTTCAAAAGAGGAGGGATGGACGTTTTGGTATGACTCCGGTGTGAGATTGAACCAACGGCCACAATTGTGTTGCGGGCCACCTCTGACCACTGCGCTTTTCTTAATAACTCAAAAAATCGACTTTCTATAAGATTCAGCATAAATAACAAACCAGTAACAGCATGGCTCTGAGGAAGTGTCCCACTCGTAACAGTACGGCTCCGAGGAAGGCGAAATCGCCGAAACGTCAGCCATTGACCAATAGCAGCAACACCTCCAACGACAACTATACCAAACTGGCATCATCTCAATAATATCAATTCTTGAGAGATCACCTGTATCAGCTCTAGTCCCGTTGATCGTTGAGTGACTAGAGTGGGCACCAGGAAACCTTCCATTTTTCCCTGTTGCGTCCAAGAGTAGCCCGGGTCCTGCTCGCTCTAGGGATTCCTCGAGCGTCATATCTTCCTTCCAGGCTTTTCGTAAAGAACTCTGACCATTGAGACTGTGGTCTTCTCGCAGTGCGTTTAACATCCCGGGGAATCCAGTCACTGGCGGCTCTTGCCCATCGCTTGTCCTTCATACGTATTGCGTGTCCAACCCACCTTATCTTCGACTACATGGCTACAGAACAGCATCTTTAAATTTTGATCTTGACGCAGGTCGGAGCTTGCGATCCTATCCCTTACTTGTGTGGAACAAAATACCCCTAGCATCGTCCCTTCGACTGCGCGTTCGATAACGCTGAGCGATCTTTCATCCTGCTTTTTCAGCGACCAGGTTTCTGACGCACACGTTAGGGCAGGAAGTACCGTAGAGTCGAAAAAGGTGGGTACGGAGTCGGGTGTTCATTGTTTTCTTTACTACGTCCTCGATTAACTTAGAAGCTTCCTAAGCTGCTTGTTTCCTTCTGCTCAGCTCTGGAGCTAGGTCGTTCATCATATTGATTTCCCAACCCAAACAGATATTGCTTTAGCATTCGGAGATATTCGTTCCGTTGAGCGTGAATGGGACATGCGAAACCAATCCG